CAACTAGAATGAAGCGATATCCTCTTGATGATGGTGGATCGATCGGTCCAATCACATCCATACCCTATCATTCAAATGACCAAGATGTTATGGTTTGGTGTAATTGTGTAGGAGGCTGTTGTGTTATGTCACCATGAATTTGACATTCATGACATTTCTTCGCATGCACAATGCAATCTTTCAGCATTGATGACCAATAATAACCCATTCTTTTGATCTTCTTTTCCATTTTTAGACTTTATTGGTGTGTGCCACAAAGTTCTTCATGCATTTCAATGACAACTTTGTTGGCTTCAGCAGATCGTAGCCACATTTGTTCAAATGACTACGGTTGAGGGTTTCATTGACAAAAACGAACCTTAGAGCTCTCTTTCTGATTTGTGTGGTTTTTTATTTGCATGTAGGCAATTTTTCCTTCTTTGAAATTGTCAATGAAGGCTGCCTCCTATTATTTCATTCCTATGCCATAAGTGTCACATGTTGATTTTGAGAAACTATTTGAATGTGAACAACTGAAGTTGCATCCTGCTTGTTTGAACTTGATGACCCCTTTGCCTGTGCGAGTTGCAAATCGGAAGGTTCCAAGACTCGACAAGTATTCACGTCGATCAACACTGACTCAAACTTCATGTTGGTCACCGCTTTAACTAGTTTAGCTAAACATCCCGTTTTACTATTTCGAGCTCGAGAAACCCTGGTTAATGTGACGTGCGGGATTTGCTTCATCAGTTGAGTGGCCTTCTTATGATAAAAGGCCAATTTAAGCTTATTTATCTTATAGATACCCAATAATTGGTTTATAATAAGGTGTGAATCGCAAAAAAAAAAAAATGAAAATTTTTCACTTTCAATGCGATAGCTATCTCAAGGCCAGCAACCAAAGCTTCATATTCAGTTTCGTTATTAGTCTGGGGCTCAGTTAATCCATATGAATACCTCATTATGTCTCCCTCTGGTATCACAAAGATAAGCAATGCCAGCTCATGCCAGAGCTTTTGGAAGATCTGGAGGTTGGGCGAGCTTGATGGAAGAAGCTCCATCAAATTATAATTCTCATATTTGCAACTTCTCCTTCCCATGAATAATTAGTTTTTGCTCATTAGGCAAATCATTGAGCGGAGAATCAACATGAACATGATGAGCGGCAAGAAAATTTGCCAGAATTTGTCCATTAACTGCTTTCTGAGAAACATATGTGATATCAAATTGCAAGAACTTGACTGCCCATCGAGCCAAGCGACCTGTCAACGCTGGTCTTGTTGAGATGAGAGTGATTTTCTGAGACAACATGTAATGGCGATGCTTTTGAGCATAAAAAATCAACACCAAACAATAATTTTCAATTGGACTATATCTCATCTCAGCTCTTATAAGACTTCGACTGATATAATAGAGGGCATTCTCCTTGCCTTCTTCATTGTGTTGAGCAAGCAGAGCTCCAAGAGACTCTTCTAATGTTGTTGTGTACAATATAAGAGACTTTTCTAGAATTGGTGCTGAGAGAATGGGTAGGCTTAAGAGGTACTTCTTAATACTATCAAAACCCTCTTCACATGCATCATCTCAGTTAAATGGAGCATTTTTCTTCATCATTTTTTAGAACAGTTGACATCGATCAGAACAATTGGGTATAAAATGCCGAATGAACATGAACTGTCCTTGTAAAGAACGAAGTTTGTGAAGATTTTTTGGAGGCGGCATCTCAACAATCACCTTGATTTTATTGGGATCAATTTCAATTTCTCTATGGCGCACAATATACCCAAGAAATTTACCTGAGGATACTCCAAAAACACACTTAAGTTGGAGTTCAGGAAGGTTGAGACTGAGGTGAGCCACACCACGTTTCATAACTATGAAGATGTTGTAGTTTTAGAGGAGGATGATTGATTGCAATCAATTTTAAAGTGGGAGATTATTATTATGTTTACTCCAGATGTGTTCAATAATTGACACTAAGAGCCTTCAATTTTGTAGATCAAGCTTGACGGTGAGTTTGTCAAGGTGTTGTCGCCCAAAAAATTTTCTGTACCTGCCGGTGGAGCTCAACACGGAATCCTGTTTTAGAACCCAAGAGTATGTCACTTTAAGACCCGAAGGGGAGCACTGCATTGCCCATATTCAAGACTTTGGCTTTGCAAACAACAACGTCACAACACCCAATCTAGATTTAGAACCTGAGAGAGCAGCATCGCATCACCTCTGATGCTGCACCGCAACACCATATCGTAGTGCTCTAATGCCCGTAATGAAACTTGAGTCATTCTTCGATTAAAGTTTCAATTTTGTTGATTGGAGGGTATGCGACTACAATCTCTTTTGTCCTAAGGAGAGAAGAACTACAATCTCTCGTCCTAAGGAGAGGAGAAGAGCGTCCCCAACTATTCTAAAGCTTGTAAATGTTTGAGTGTGATGTAATTTGTACAATTCTTCTCATTTCTTTATAAAAATTTTTTTAATGTGGTGTGACTATAAATTTATTTTGTTGTTCTCGAGTTTGTCCACATTAAATCTTGTGTTTGTGTTTTATGTGATCTCTTGTTTAGTGTGATTTTGTTCAAATTTTTGCTTCGAATTTCTCGAATATGTTTCTGTGAATTTCCTTGCGTCTCTCACAGCATTTATGACAATCAATTGTATCATATGGTTTACATCTCTAAGGGTAGAAAGTTGTTGGAGAATATACGAGTTATGGTCGTGACTGTAATATAATGGTGTCATTTGACGACAACCACTTAGTTAGATGGTTATGTTCGTAATCGTAAATTTTTGTGTAGCTTTTGGGTCAAATCACCGGACAAACTTAGGTCGTGTCCTTACTGGCATGAGATTGTTTTTGTCTTTGAGTGTGAATATAGTGACACTCAATGTGAAATTTGCTCTTTATGAGATAAAGTAAATCAAAATTTTATCACTCCCGATAAACTATTGTGGAGTTGAATGACATTTGTTTTAAATTTTTTGTGATTAATTTTGATTGAAGTGTTTTGATTGGTTTTTTGTGAGTAGTTGAGTTGAAAATCTTAATTTATAAGTTGACCCCTCAGGTTGATATTTTCATTCAACATGTCCATTATCCAGGATTTTGGGCATTTAAAATAGTTATATTTGAAATTTTATATTTGAAATCCATTTGAAATTTGACAATTGAATATCTATAAAATGTTAGTCTTGTCAACTTTGGCCCCTTATGTGGAAAAGTATAGAGCTAAGTTTAAAATATATAAATGTTCCCTAAAACAATGTTTAAACTGTACAGCTTGTGTGAAATGTTAATTTAAATGTTCTAAAGCATACACAACTTGAGGAGGAAGACAAAACTATGTAAATTCCCTTGAAAACTCATTTATATAGATGTTCTTAAATATACACAATAAAATACCCAAACTTTCACTCATACAAGCCTACAAGTACATTCACATATCTCAAGTATTATATTTGATTTACAAAATCTTGAAATTTGTATACCTTGAAACTGTTTAATTTGAAATATTTATAAAAACTATTAGGATTTTGAATTGAACAAATATATTGTGAATTCGATGGTGACTAGGCGTATAAAGCTTTTGTTAAGTATTTAAAAATACTTCATTTATGTCTTTAAGTTTAGCCCCAAAAATATATTAACTATTTTGAAGTAAGGGCAAATATTCTATATATTAGGTTCAATTTTAAGAAATAAAGGCTGTAGGGACGAGGAGTTTCGAAGGTCTTAATAATGTGCGAGCAGAGGTCTAGGGTGAGCGGGATTGAGCGGGAGAGGCAAAGGAGACTCAGTTTTTATTTCACGCCTGAAGGGGATCGTAATAAGCAGGGAAGGAGGCTTCGGCTGGGATAGTGGAGCAGTTGAGCGAGCTAGGGCTTATCGTCTGGTCTTCTTATTGATATTTTTCTCCCTAAAAAACAGTAATCCAGCATTATGTGAGTGCTGGAGCATACCAAATCAAGCAATGATTGTCAGTTTGCGCAAATATTGCTTGTTTTCTCACTCTTTCTCTTCATCTGCCCTATCCACCCCAACCCTGCATCTTATCTACTCAAAATGGAAAGCATACAGACTATGCTTCGTTTCATCTTATAGCAACGAATGCAAGTAGATAGAGAGCTGTGCACATATTGAAAGCTCTCATATTTCATTCATGCTTTTTTTTTTTTTTAGCCCTTTCCAATGACGCAACATGAAATATTTCTGGTTTCTTTTTCACAAGGCAGTTCAAAAGTTTCTGGTGAAACTTTTTAATCATTCATTTTCACTGTAGTTGGATTTTTCAAACTTTGCCTTCGACAGGCTCTTTTTTATTATTATTATTATTATTTTATTGAAGGGGCATTTACATACCTGCTGCACAATTCTTATGTATTTACATATCAATTACCTAAATATTCATATTTTCATGCATACCACTCAAATCTTTATGCGGAGTTTGGCTCCGACTTAGTTTTACGTTAAATAGGATTTATTAAATCTAGTAAAATCAGATTTATAAAACTCTTTGTAGATGGAGACCAACCTCCCCTAAGTCCGCCCCGTAGTTGGATTTAATAAATCTGAATTTACGCTGTAAAATAGATAGAACACAAGGAATAGCTACGGAAAGCGAGAAATTTTGATTTAAAAACGTCTGATTTAATTTTTATTTTTATTTTTTATTTTTTGATGTTTGGCTGGATTTAAGCTAAATCCATGGCTAAATCTGATAAATAATATGCTACCAAACACCCCCTTAATATCACATTAAAAATATCGTCATCATCATCATCGTCTTTGTAAAAGTGAAATTAAGCTTTTCATGCATAATTTTTTTACTGCAAGGTGTTATAAGTGTAAATATCAAACTTTTGTCTTTTAAGTAAGTGTTAGATATGTAAAAACCTAAGAATTACGTGGCATGGATGTAAATTTCTCATTATTTATTTATAACTTAATGGACAGGAAGGGTGTTAATTTACTCTGAGAGTTATTTTTTATTTTTTTATTTTTATTTTTTTCTGTGTTTCAGTTGACAACCCTGCTTTCTGAGGCCGGGCTTAACATCCAAGAAGCGCATGCTTTTTCAACAAACGATGGCTACTCATTAGATGTCTTTGTCGTTGATGGCTGGCCTGATGAGGTGATTTTCTCGTCTTATGTGTATTTATTGAATTTTTTATCACACTCTGCTTCAGAGATGTGTTTCTGTCCCATTAATACCATTGTAGTGCTGGCCCTGTGATATTGTTATATTATAGATCATGTATACATTCTCTTATAGAGTACAATTTCAGAAATAGTATATTTTATTCTATTCACTATCCCATCTTCTAAGTTTCTCACGTTGATGTCAGTTTAAGTTTGAAAATGAATGAATTGTTGTAGTCAGTAAGTGGGTCTGTGATCGAGGGAAACAGAGAGATTTTTAATGTCTAATGTTTATATCTTGGTATTCCAATCATTAAGTTTTGAGTAAAAGTGCCAAGCAGTACTATGACTATTTACATGGGATCATTTTATTAACTGAGTTTATAATATTGTTAAAGTAGTCTTCTGGCTTTTTTATTGGAGGCTAAAATAAACTTGATTGGAGACCATTTTATATTTAAAAAGTTTGAAGACTAAATGGACACTTTTATAAACTCTAGGACTAAAATAACTCCATGCAAAGAGTTAGGAGATCATTTTGATACTTTTCTCATTAAGTATTTTAGCTAATTAAAATTCAAATTAATTTTTTTGGCTGACTGTTTTTAGGAAACCAGTCATCTCAGAGATGCACTGCAGAAGGAGATTCATAAAGTTGAGGTAATTTCTTTCCTTACTTTGCAGCAATATTGCTTGAAAAATGGTGATTGATATTTAAGTTCATACGATTTTCTCTTTTTTATCGATCTAAGTTCTTGTATTTATGCGAGCATTTGTCCATTTATTAATTTATTTCGCTTAGAGTTTGTAGATGTTACATGAAATGATCTTCATTAGCAGTAGCCTGACCCGATTATTTGTTGCCAGTCATTTGATCATGCATTGGCGAGTTTTGAACCATTCATGTCTTTTATTTTGAATTGAGCATTTTTTCGATCCAAAGTTTGATCTATTTTTGATAATTTCTTAATAGTGCAAATGAAGGCATGCACATCCATGGATGCATAAGAATATAATGCTAATAGAAATATTTTGGAAGATTTACATGCATACGAGTCAATTCTTATTTATTTAAGGTTTAGGGTTATAAATATAAAAATCAAAGTTTATGTGTTAGATATGTAAATATTTAAGAATTGGGTGTTATGTGCGTAAATGCCCCAAATATTTTTTTGTTCAATCGAATGTCAACTCTTGTCAATTTGATTAGAGTCTAATCAAATCCAACTCCAACTTGTTAAGTTGCTATTTCATTTTAAACCGAAAACATTTCCAATGATTGAAAACATAGTCACAAGAGCAGTGTTTTTGGAAATTTATAAAGGTGGAGGGGTTGTCATGGGTCAATTAGTATTTGTTTATTCACTATTTTAATGTCATAAATATATCATTCTTTTAATAATTTTAATGAATTAAAAATTTGATGTTTACATTATAAAAGAAAAAATTATAGACAAACTCAAAAAACTAAGGAGATCTTATGTACTTATTGCAAAATTTTTTTATTCATATACATAACTCATATATCTTTGTATATATTTGTGCAGTTTTTTTTTTAATTTAAATATACAAATTTAAGTTTTAAACTTGTAAATATATAAAACTTATGTGGTATGTATGTAAATGCCTGTAATGGTAATTTTTATTTCTTGATCCAGGCGTTGCTTTTACATTTTGGGTATAAGAAACAAATTCGCTCATCCCTCTTTGATGTTATCTTTTCCATCAATCTTGATTGCAGCCCTTGCCCAATTCTTTGCTACAACAACTGGTCGTCATCGCTTCAACATGAAAAACGCTCACAACCTCTTCACAATGCTATCTGTCTCGCTAACAACTCTTGCATCCGATCAACCCTTGCTCGCTTAGCCTACTCGACCATTGCACGGCAACATCCTACATTTGTTGGGATTCGTGAAATGTGTGAAACCCCTCAAGTAGATTGAAGCCGAATTCTTAAAGGCGTCTTTTGGTGTAACAGTGGAATTTTATTAGAAACTCCCAAGTTAAGCGTGCCCGCATGGAGCACTCCTAGGATGGGTGACATCTTGGGAAGTTACACCAACAGGGCAAAACTGTGAGGCCATTAGGCCAAAGTAGATAATAACTTGATGGGTGAGAGTTTAGGCTGTCAGCAATGGGATCGAAGCATAACATCAATCAAAAGATGAGAACTAAGTGTTATACAAAATAAAGTGCTACGTCATGGGAGCAACCTTTTGAACTTTGGTTGGGATAAAGTGCTACATGGTGGGAACCACCTCTTGAATTTGTAAGGGCCATCTTTAGAATCCTATTTGTTTGGTAGATGATTATGGTTTAGAGAACTGGCGATAATGTCAGATACTTAAGTGGGAGAGATAGTGAAACCCCTTGAATAGATTGAAGCCGAAATCTAAAACTTCGAGGTGTCTTTTGGTGTAACGGTGAAATTTCAGTAGAAACTCCAAAGTTAAGAGTGCTTGCATGGGAGCATTCCTAGGATGGGTGACCTACTGTGAAGCTACACCAACGGTGCAAAATCGTGACGCCATTAGTCCAAAGCGGAAAATACCTTCATGGGTGAGAGTTCAGGTTGTCACAGAAGGTGCCCTCTCCTTCAAATTGTGTTTCCTTAGTGCTACGAACGCACCTCTCCTTGGCTTTGATCTTGTATAATTACCATTGCGTAAGGGTACTCATTGCACTACCGGTATTTTCCACCCTCATAATTGGTCGCTCGTCATGCTCAACTTTGTTACAATCTTTTTTGCTTCATCGCATTCGATTATGTTCTCTTCAGCACCCGAACCTCTTATGTTGCTTGCACAAATCGCGCCTTCTCTAGCTGCACGATTTTATTTGACCGCTCCTCGCACCGTCTCCATTTTGATTGTCCTCTCTATATGACGAGCCCATGGTCCCGTCAACTTGGCTGGATCAGTCAGCTTTCCCTTTCTTAAATAATGAGTCCTGAGGTAGTGGATCACAATGGTGAAATAAGGATTGATATGTTAATAGCGGAGTTATTGGGTGGAGTAGCCATCAGGTCTTTTTTTGTTGAACAGGAACAGTAAGTGTTTTAGTTGGCCAAAAACAAGGTTGATGTTGCTATTTATAGAGCTATCGGTTGGTTTTTTTGAGACAACAGTTAAAATTACTCAATAACTGTGAGTTCTAGTTTCCTTGATATTGACATTTGGCGGCCACATCTACTTTCTTGATTTTATGCAAAAAAGCTTAGTGTATGATGGAAACAAAATTATATTGGTATTGGGTTTGGAGAATAACAAATCTAAATTATGATCGCTTTCATTTTCTTGTTTCATTAATGCAAACAATTATTTTAAAAAATTACTCCTTAACTAACCTATAAGATTTGGGCTGACAAACAATTTTTTAACTATTTTTAAAATTTAAAACTTACGTTTTTTGAACGTTAAAACAAACTGCCTGAAATGTTGGCTCCTGCAATTGATCATACATATTCTAGAGGACGATTGAGAGAATCTTTTGCTAAGTTTTTGAATTAGTAATGTTCATCCCTTGTGTCTATTACTCTTCAGAAGTATTTATACTTTGTCACCTCAACTTCAAGATGGATTCTGTTGATCTTTTGTATTTTAGATGAATTTTGTTATCTCTGTCAAAGACTCCTATCTAGCAGCATTTCCTTGAGAAATGGGCGCAACATATTCATTAAATAAATCTCCAAAATCTTAAAATTGTTTTAAATTTGCTTTGTGTACATAATAAAGAACATTTTTTCCCTTGTTTTTTATTTTAACATGATTTATGCAATTTGCTAAATCTGAGACTATTATTAGAGAATTATTAGACGATGAATTGAAATTTCTCACCTTTTGAGATTCTTCCCTTTTTTAGATCCTCTACTTGGTCTCATCTTTATCCTGGCAGCTCTTTGGTCTAATTCTTCAATCCTCTTCGGCTCTCTATCTCACCAATTAACCCTGTGCAAATTCATCCAACTCTCAGAGCCCCCGTTCTTATCATTTACATATGACATTCAAAACAAAAATGTTTGTGCCTTCCCTTAGCGTTGTAGATTGCATAAGAGCCAAGCAACTGTGTTGTAGGATTTTCCAAAGAGTGATCGACAATCACGTAATATCTGACATTGATTTTCTATGCTGTCATTGGGTGATCAAGTGCCATAAATCAAGCTTTTGGATTTGCAATAAGAGGTGGCATCTTGTGATTCACTGCCATTAGCCAAGGCACTGACTGTGAGGAAGGAACCGAACTAGGATGGAATTCATAGCAGACTAAAGCTAGATCTACTGCATCTTTCTAAGAAGAAAAAAGATTATGCAGACTGGTTCACTTGTCCAAAATATCGGGCTTTTGAGTGAAAGTAACAATTTTATTAAATTTGCAAAAAAAATGAACTTCAAACAGACTGAAAGTTAATTGAGCTGGACAGTTTAGTCTTATTCTTAAGCACCTAACATGCTGGTGAAATAACATATTTTACGTCCTTTATTGATGGAAAATTTTCTTTTTTCTCTTTAAGATCATTGCAGTGTGAACTATTGTAGGGATACTAAATAGGATTTGCAAGTATTACTATTTTGTAATTATCCTATTAATACTTCTTCCAATGAATTTGGTGAGAACAAATATTTCAAATGCTGAGGATTGTTCGAGACTACCGGAAAACCATGCCATATCCTCAAAGTGATCAGTTTTAGTACAAATATTTGTGGAAGTGCTTTATTTACTTGCTGTTGGGTAAATTTTTAAAATTTAATCATTTATGCAATTCTGGATTAACTAGAAATTATGGCTGTCCCTATTACTGGTATTCTGTTTCACTGCCACACTAAGTATTTGCTTCTTTGTAAAATGTCTGTCATCCTATTATACTGCTGATGGTATTCTTTTATTTCAATGACTTCTACGGAATATATGAATAACTCGTTATTATTATTTGTAGAAAGAAGCTTGCATGCCGCCTAGGCAGTGGCCACCCAAAAACGAAAATTTGCAGTCAAAGAAAGGTTTTCAGGACAATGTCAAAATTCCGACTGATGGGACTGATGTTTGGGAGATTGATACTAGACTTCTAAAATTTCAAAATCAATTGGCATCTGGGTCTCAATGTAATTTGTAAGTCTGCTAGTAATTCAAAGCTATATATATCCTGGCATGGTTATACTTGTTTATGTTAAAGTCAACGTGTCCCTGTTGTTTTCGTTTTCAGATACCGAGGCACATATTGTAGTCAAGAAGTTGCTATTAAAGTCTTTAAGCCCGAGCATGTTAATGTGGATATGCAGCGTGAATTTGCACAGGAAGTCTATATTATGAGGTTTGCAACAATTACTTTCATATATGAAGTGGTGTTTGGTGCCTTACATATTCATGTTATCTCTGTAAAATGAAACGATTCATCTGCTACCAAATAACATGGCACACAAATATTAATCTTTTTCATGCAATTAGAATTTACCCCGATCGTGTTGATTTTAACTTTATTGATCTCTAATGATTTTTTTTTGGGCATACACCATGGAGCATTAACATTTTAAAACTAATTTAGGGTGATGCTTTTATTCATTCTAAGCTCTCCGGATCTTTTTTCAGTTGCCCAAATATGTAAAATCCATAGATTCTCAGAAGCATCAATTCTTGTATCATTTTTATTGTTTTCGTTCGTATGGTTTTCTATTTTCTATACATAAAATTAATGTTCTATCTTTGTTCTGTCTGCTTCATTTTCTACTGAAGGTTTAAAATGTCATCATTAATATTAAAGAATATGTATAATTTTTTTTAGATGGAAAGGGAAGGATTGCTATGACCTGGCCTGAGGCACAGAGTGGCTTGGTAGGTATAGATGGCCGCAATTGAAAGGAATGAAATACTTACACATCTTATTTATCATTATCAAAATTTACGTAATTCATAACAGAACAATGACATGCATTTCTTGACTTTTAATCGCATCACATCGCTTGCTTTTCATAAATCAATTAATAATAATGTATAACCTTTGAAGGCATCATCGGAAGTATAGAGATACAAACTTGAAATCTTTCATTTAAGAAAATTGTAAGTCGTAGAATTTTGCACATATGTCCACATTTAGATGTATGGTTGTTTGATTTATAATTTAATTTCTTTTTAGATATTATCAACATTATATAAAACTAATCACTCATATGTTGACACTATCAAACAAAACAATTTAAAGTTTTAATGTTGCATGCTTACATATTAAAAGGCCTCACATGTGCCAATATATCTTTTATCATCCATCTACTTCATAATCTTATATGCATACCTATATATATATTTGTTCACTATCAAACAAAACAATTTAAAGTTTTAATGTTGTGTGCTTACATATTAAAAGGCTTCACATGTGCCAATATATCTTTTGTCATCCATCTACTTCATAATCTTACATGCATACCTATATATATATTTGTCACAACCTAGTCCCGGGGCTTGGAGTTACCAAGATGATAACAAATGATCTAACTGTGAATATTAAATTTTCATTTTTTATTGTTACTTAATAGGGGAATTTACATACACAACACCCAATTCTTCTACATTTACCTATCTCAGGCCCAAACTCTAAACTTATCCTTTTTACGACACCCAACAGTGAAAGCCACATTTTCATACATAGGTAGGGTGCTCATTTTTGTAAAAGTGAGAGTTTGGGTGTGAGATAGGTAAATGCTAAGAATTGGGTGTTGTGTATGTCAATTTCTGTACTTAATAATGGTTTAGTGAACCAAACTAATGGAAGAAATAAATTAATGAAAATAAAACAATTATAATGGTTTACTTTTCTTTATATTCATCCACATTATTTATAAACATTCTCTTCTTTCACTCATTTTCTAATTCAAGATTTAAACTTGACAATATTGGTTTAAAATATGCGAGTCATTGAGCTATTAACATGACAATGAATGCTCATATTTTCATGTTACAATAACGTAATGAAAATAATAATAATAATATGCATACTAGTCAAAATACGGTAAATCTGTGTAGAATCATTTGATAGTTTATTATTTAAATATGATAATTCAAAAAGGTTCTCAACTTTCATTATATTGTACTACATCATTTATATCTATATCATTTTTATATATATAGATCCATCATTGGAGTATCTTCTAAATTTATTTCAATTAAAATGCATTAATATCAATATTTTTTAGCAGTTATGTGCATGATTATCTTAGCATCTTCAGCTAATATTATAAGGGGATAAACTCCATTAGTCAATCAGGCACATGGAAGCATACTATATTAATCATTTCATTCACTTGTATTCACATCATTTAATTATTCTTATATATATATATTAGTTTCAAACTACAACTCAAAGGAAATTAGAGCAATATACATGCTAGATAATTTGTGAAGAAATTGTTGAAATCGATTTTTCATTGTTGTTAATCATTGCCATAAAATTTTCATAATTGTCAGAGTCATGAACAATACATCAGTCCACTTAGCACACCATATCATAAGCATGAATATGCAGCGAAGCATAGAATATCAACATATTTTTTAAGGTGAATCACTAGCTGACACACATCCATCACATGATCTTTGTCGGTACTATAACCTTGTCCAAACTTATTAGGAAGACAACAATCATAGTGCAGGTACAAGTATCTCTAACTAATATCATATAGGGTTGGCTCCATAACACGCTCATGTAAATATTCATATATATTATTCATTTTGCATGCACTTCAACAGACATTGATAAGTTGCATAGTACAACACAAAGCATGTATAAGCATTTGAACTATAGAAATATGAAAAGAATGTATATTCTTAGATAAATTCATCATAATGAGAAAAGATAAATTATCACAAAGTAGTGCCAATACTCTTGGTCCTTACTTCCAATGCCTCCATTTCAACCCAAGAAATGTTGACAAGCTTTGTCAAACTTTACCATGCATGATTTACCTTGAAGTTGTGCCAATCCTTTCGTTCCTTATTTCCAATGAAAATGGAAGCTTTATAATTTTAATTATTAATTTCTGCAAAGAGTATAATGTATAATCAAAATAGTGTAAGTATGCTTTATGATTGATTTTTTCAGGGGGATCAAAATTCACTAAAGTTTTACAAAGAATTGCAATCCTATGAATTAATTCATCTAGAAAACTAGAAAAGAAGCAAGATTTTGTGACTTAATTGGGTTATCAAAATTATTAAGTAAATGAATACGATTGTAATCTTAAAACGTCTTTTTTATATGCAAATTTTTCCAAATATTTTTCCTTCACCCCACATTGATTTTTCTATGATTCTATTAAAAACCTCTATTATGTGTATGCAGAAAGATTCGCCACAAAAATGTTGTTCAATTTATTGGTGCATGTACGCAACCACATAGCTTGTTCATTGTTACAGGTAAAAGATTCTGCATGAACTTGGCAGATATAGTGCGTTTCACTATAAAAATTTTGTCATACCTTTAGTAGTAGTTTATGTTTTATTGTGATTGTTTGAATGTGTTAGCTAACAATTTAATTTTTTCCCCCCCTTGCCTTTTTTGTTCCTTTCAGAATTCATGTCTGGAGGTAGTATATATGACTTTCTTCATAAGCAGAAAGGATCCTTCAAGCTTCCAACTCTGCTTAGAGTGGCAATTGATGTTTGCAAGGGAATGTGCTATTTGCACCAAAATGATATCATACACAGGGACCTGAAGACTGCCAATATTTTAATGGATGAAAATGAGGTTATTGCTCTCTTCTTAATATTACTAATATTACTAAGGATGCTGCTGTTATTCTCGTTTTGTTAATGACATTGTTGTTGATGCACTTGAACATGTGACCATCCTAGGATCATATTGTATGTTATATACTTCGAATTTCTGTTAATATGTTTTAAGCTTGTTTAAATAAGCATTGTTTGATCTTTCCAGATTTGCTGCAATAACACAATATTCTTTTTGCTTATTACACAAGTTTAAATTTAGTATTAAAGGTTCTTCTTTTAAAAAGGATAGAGTTTTTTTTGCACCCTTCTAAGTCCAAATACTCATGCTTTCGAGACAAATGATGATTGCACAAATGGGAAAAATAATCTGCGAAGAGAGCATCAAGAAAAGATCTCAGGAGAGTTTACATGGTTCAGTGAGTTCTACTTATGTCAAAGTTCCGACAGAGAGATAAATTCCCACAAGTTCAAGGATAAATAGAATTCAAATATTTAGCATTAAATATTTTCCTCATATTTATCACATGAATATATTTCTCTTTTTTTTTTTAATCCCTCTCTAAACCTTAGCATAGCCCCTCCACTGATTATGTCCATTGGAAATAGAACAAAATATGTTCCCGCTTTTGTTGAAACATCTTGTTAGTCATGAGTCCCTTTTGGCAATCACCAGTTCTTTTTTTTTTACGGTCTCTGATTTTCTACTATCGGTTTCAACCCTTCAGTGCTAGTTGCCAACCACTCAACAGAGAAATCCATATACATGACATCAACTAGAATGAGTACCAGCTTTCGATCAATCCACTGTCCACCTTCTCTATCTCCGTCTATACAATTTGTGGAGAAAGGGAAGTATTAGTGATGCCCCTCAACTCCATGTAATCATTTCCTTTTATAATACTAGATGCTAGATAACAAACTTGTTGAGGTTAAGTGGATTTTATTAGATACTTGTAGATATCAATTAGAGTTCAAATGTATGAAAAACACATGAAACAAATCTATATGGTAGGTTTCAACTTTGCAATCAAGGTTGATGAGAGATTTATCTCCACATTTTTAGCATAAATTAAATCTTATAGCGCTTTTTTACTACCTTCCCTATTATATATTGTTTTATCTGTGATCTTATTATATTGTGGCATTCTTTATTTTAAAATCTCCATTTTATCAAGCAAATCCTAGAGTTATAATTTAGTGGCCTTTTCTAAATCAACTGATGCCCAATTTTTCTTTTTACTCTTAAGTTTTGATTATTGCAAATTTAGAGTTCATAAAAATAATGTTATGCTTTTATAATACTAATGCATTTATATTATTAATCAAAATAATTTTTTATAGATTTTTTTTTCATAAAAATGCTAATGTTTATTAATTTTTAATTAAAAATTTTTTTGTTATTAATCAAAATAATTTTTTATAGATTTTTTTTTTTCAGAAAAATGCTATGTTTATTAATTTTTAATTAAAAATTTTTTTGTCGGTAGGCCGAGGCAAGTTCCAAGGCATGTGCATTTGGGATTGTAACTTCTAAACAACTTTTATATCTGTTATTGGATGATAGAAAATGCACAATTTTAATATGCCTTCTTTCCCGTATGCTTCCCCCTAATGTGCTTAGATTTTATTTTCCAACAATCCTTTGTCAAACAGGTTGTTAAAGTTGCAGATTTTGGTGTTGCACGAGTTAAAGCCCAGTCTGGTGTTATGACTGCAGAAACAGGAACATATCGGTGGATGGCTCCAGAGGTATTTCTCTTGAATTCTTAGCTTAGCTGTTGCACTAAATTTTAGGGGAATGTTACTTCTGAACTGCAATTGATATTTGAAGCAGTTGAGTTGGTTGCGAAGTGTTTGATTTCTAATAAAAGAACTGCAAATAAAATGCAGGTAAATTGGTCGGATTTACTTTTAATGGTCTTAGTGAATTAAATCAAATTCTGAGAAGAATTTTGGATTGTCACTCTATCACCACTTCCTATTGTTAAAAATAAAATCTCCTCAGAATTACTATTGTATATATATTTATGAGTGGAAGATACACCAATAAAATCTGTAAATGAGCCAATAAGATGTGTTTATGAGATGGATGTGATAGAATTTGTAAGGTGTAGGTCAACATTAGCATAGACAAACGTTTCACAAAAAAATTTACGCGTCATCCAACATTTAATAAGAATGAATGGATAGGAGTGAATGGAAAATGAGGATTGGTAATGTTGAATCTGCCTAGTAGGGACAAGGCTAATGATTGATGGTCTTTGTGAGGTAGGTAAACATAACTATGATTTCTTGTTAATTGAAACAGTTCTATAGATAGCCAAATGCTCATAAAATAATTTGCCTACAGTCCATCATTTTATGCCCATTTTGGAGCAAACTGAACAGCTCTTGCTAAATAATTATGTTTGTTTTGTATGTATTATTTGTTTATAATTTATCCATGTCTAATTTTTAATTAATCATTTAATTTCTTAGAGGTCAACATGGTATCGATATTATGTTCAATAATTAATAAGTTGATTGAAATCAATTAATAACTGTGTCAGAGTTTTTAGTTGTATTGTTTTTCTTTTCGATAATTATTGTATGGAACAAAGGTAGGTCGCACGATACAATTAAATCAATACTTGAACTAATAAAATATAATAACGTCACTAAAATAAAGAGATAATTCATCTATGGTCATTCAGTTAATCTTCATTTATTTTGATATTATAATACTATGATATCATAAACATATGCTTGAAAAAGTTAGAGATAGTGGTATTTTTTATATAATATCAAAGGTTGAGTGTTATGCATGTTTAAATATGAAAATTTAGGTGTTGGATGTGCAAATAGATAAGAATTGTGTGTTTGAACAAAAAATATATAAGAATTGCGTGGTATCTATGTAATGCCTCTCTTTTTTTTTAATGTTAGGCTTGACATGTGTTTTTACAAACTTCTAATATGCTACATTACGCGTGCCCATTTCCTTAATCTTTTTGCCCTTCATTTTGCATACTTCTATGTACGCTGAATACATAAATTTATTTTTTAACTTTCTTAATTTCAATTATTTAATTTAATCATTTATCACGTTTTATTATTTTTTTTATTACACATTTATTTTAACTTCCTCTTTTAAAACTTGTGATCAATGGCTTTTGTTTTCTCAACCTGAATCCATATAAATTAATCACTAGTTATATTTCATGATATTATCTCTCTCATGGTATACCTCAAGGCACTTGTCCATTTTTTACCAGTCAACTTCAAATTTAAAGGTGATGCTCTCATTTATGTCCCCGTCTTTTTTAATGGTTGATATAAATATACTTCAGACTATTATATTTAGATATCTTTTCTGTTAATATTGATTAATAATTACTCATTCTACTTCAATTAAAATTGCATATCATGTTCTCATTTTTTACTCTAATAATTATTAGTCTAACAATCATCTTACCTTTGAATGTCATCTATACCTTAAAAAGTTAGCTCTAAAATATGGAAAATAACCAACTCTGTTATTGTAATGATATTTAAATCATTTTTCAATGTTTCTCTTATTTTATCCAGTTAGTTTAGCAATTATCTTCAGCAGCAGTGTTGATTATTTACCATTTTTTTAAAGATTACTTTGATTTGCTAGGTTTAATATTCCTCCATTTTCTTACGAAGTATGGTTTATAATTGAAGGTCATAGAACACCTTCCTTATGATCACAAGGCCGATGTATTTAGTTTTGCTATAATGATCTGGGAGCTTCTAACAGGGAAGGTAATCCATGCACATGAATACTTTTTCATTAAAATTCTTGTACTTACATATCCAGAATTTCTTGTCTCTCTCTGTCTTTTGCATCAAATGCTTTAATTTATTGTTGCAATTTTTTTTTGCAGCTTCCATATGAGTACTTGACGCCACTTCAAGCTGCAGTTGGTGTGGTGCAAAAAGTAGGCGTCTTTTTTATTCATCTTTTTTGTCCCACTCTTTAGTAATTTACCTACTCATCTTATAGGTGTTTTGCCACCTTTCATTGCACATGTTATCTTATATTCAGTCTATGCTCCAATAATCCCTTTCATATGTTTGATTTTTTAATCAATATTTTTATCTTTGCCACGTATTTATCTTAACATTCTTATTTATATTTTTCAACCTAACTAATAGTGTCTTACAGCTAGCCTAAATTTTAATAAAACTAGGATATTCTTATTTATTTTATCGTTTATATTCTTCTTTTATATAATAAAACTAGGATATTTAAAGTTACTATAATTAGGCAGTACTTGACCTTCTAGCAGTATGGGCTTGTAATTGTCAATTTTAAGCCACTACAATTCTGTATCATATATTCTCTTCTCAGAGATTCATGTATTGCTCAAACCTTTTACTTGCATCTATAGAAGTCTCATTAATTAGAGCATATTATCGACCAACCCAGTGCACTATGGCACTTCAAATTCTCTTGTTAAACATCTCTTAAACATATGCAAAAATATGAAAAGCTAATTTGATTGTTGACATAATTTTATAATGATTTATAACTATTTGGTCATTCTGCAATTACTTAAATGCTAGGCAATCTTCACACGTATCTTTCTCAACTTCTAGCTAGTTTTTTCGCTTTTTTTTTTATATGTGCACCAATCAATCCTAATGGTAATTGATGTTGTATCCTCAAGGTCAATAAAAATTATATATATATATATATATATACATTTTTATTTTATAAACTTTAATAAAAAATTATTTTTGTGGTGGATCTTTAGGGCATAAATAAATTATATTGGTCTTGGCATAGAAAATGTCTCAGCATATCCTTTTTTGGGCGAAACTTAATCATCGAAACATTTCTTGAAGCAGACATTCTCTATTCCATCATATTTTTATCCACTTTTATGTCATTCTCAAATTCTCTCATCACTTAATCTATTATAATCTATAAGTCCATTTAAGTTCCATCAATAATTACACTATTTCTCAATCACTATTTTAATAAATCATCTGTTTTTTTTATCATCTTCTCATCTACTTTGAGAGTTGTAAACACTGATAAACATGTCGGGAAGATTTATTAAAACAAAAACATATTACAAGAAAACATGACTAAAAAAAAACTAAAAGAAAAGAGAGAAATATAAAAATAACAACAATGCAATAGCAAACAATAAAAACAACAGTCTTGATCGATAAGATAACAAGTGCAACTTGAACTAACATCCTCAGCATCGAACAATCAACAACCTGAACTTCCCTTGCAGCAACAATCTTGAAGAAGTAGGCAATAAGGTGCGTAGCAGTAACTATCCTAAGTGCAAGGATAACCTAAAAAATATATTACAAGCAAACATGACTAAAAAAAAACTAAAAGAAAAGATAGAAATATAAAAATAACAACAATACAACAGCAGACAATAAAAACAATAGTCTTGAACGTTAGGATAACAAATGCAACTTGAACTAACATCCTCAACATCGAACAATCAACAACCTGAACTTCCCTTGCAGCAACAATCTTGAAGTAGGCAATAAGTTGCAGTAGCAGCAACCATCCTAAATGCAAGGATAACCTAAAAAATATATTACAAGCGAACATGCCTAAAAAAAAAACTAAAAGAAAAGAAAGAAATATAAAAATAACAAAAATACAACAGCAGACAATAAAAACAATTGTCATGAACAATAAGATAACAAGTGCAACTTGAACTAACATCCTCAGCATCGAACAATCAACAACTTGAACTTCCCTTGCAGCAACAATCTTGAAGAGGTAGGCAATAAGGTGCGTAGCAGTAACCATCCTAAGTGCAAGGATAACCTAAAAAATATGTTACAAGCAAACATGACTAAAAAAAACTAAAAGAAAAGATAGAAATATAAAAATAACAACAATACAACAGCAGACAATAAAAACAATAGTCTTGAACGTTAGGATAACAAATACAACTTGAACTAACATCCTCAACATCGAACAATCAACAACCTGAACTTCCCTTGCAGCAACAATCTTGAAGTAGGCAATAAGTTGCAGTAGCAGCAACCATCCTAAGTGCAAGGATAGCCTAAAAAATATATTACAAGCAAACATGCATAAAAAAAAAACTAAAAGAAAAGAAAGAAATATAAAAATAACAACAATACAACAGCAGACAATAAAAACAATTGTCATGAACAATAAGATAACAAGTGCAACTTGAACTAACATCCTCAGCATCGAACAATCAACAACCTGAACTTCCCCTGCAGCAACAATCTTGAATAAGTAGGCAAAAAGGTGCAGTAGCAGTAACCATCCTAAGTGCAAGGATAACCTAAAAATAAGAGAATAACAACAAAAGTAATCGAGAAATGACAAAACTATAGACAACAAAAAAGCTACTAAAATACCCATAGCAAAATGAAATAAGAAAAGAAAGAAAAGTGAATAAATTAATAAAGCTCAGCCAAACCCAAAACATCACAGATTAACTCTAACTAGATTCTACAAAAATATAATTTTAGTATAAAACCTTCCAGATAAATGGTTGAAATCAAGTTTTCGTCTAAATTTATTTACAAGAAGAATGCCAGAAATAGATCTCCTTAGAATGGCAAAGTTACTAAGGGTGAATCATCCCTTCACCTAATAACTATGCCAAAAAAAGGTTAACATCAAACAAAGTATTTGAAGCTCTCATTAAATATCAACCACTAACAAAAACCGCACCTCCAATAAAGGAAGACCAATACACATAAACCAAAAACCTGCAAATCAAAAGATTAAATCAACAAAAAGGAAAAACGAAATCTCTTAGAATCAGCCAGCAATAGCTGAAGAAAAAGAGAACAAAAACTCTAAAATAAAAGGATAGAACAAAGATCTATCCTATAATGTTCTAGAGAAAAAGATGAGAAAAATATATGTAATACCAGTTATAATAAAAGATTAGAATGGGAGAGAAGAGCAGTTAATATTAACTTGGTAAAATCAGCCACTTGTTTATAATATTAACCTCAAAAAATATCTTTCAATTATCTGTCCACTACAACCCCTCACCACATTCCTATTTTGAACTTCCAAAACAAACAATAGTTCATAAACCTCTCTAATTTCTTTTTCTTGGAGCTTTTCTATTTTTTTAAGTGCTTACGATTTGTGATATTTATCCTTCTGATTAATGTGTTGTTTAATCTCAACTCTTATCATAAAAAATCCCCAAGTATCATCCTAGAAGTCTAATCTAAATTAGAGACAACCAACCTGTTGAGAATTTTAGGACAAAGAAAACACAAGAATCTACGCAAATCCAGAAAGAAACACAAAGGTTTAATGAGGTTCGATAAAGATGCCTACGTCCTCAGGAGCAGAGCGGCGACTTTTCTTTCAATTTAGAAAAAGTACAAGATACCCTTAGGGTTACAATACATCATATATATATATATATATATATATATATATATATATAGCATTGACGTATAATATGTAATTACAAAATTACTCATATACCGTAACGTGGGGGCGTTGCCCTCACACCTCCAACCCACATAACGAAACTCCCCCGATTGGATAGATGTTTCTGCTCTGCTCCGCTGACTCGCTCCGTTCCGCTCCAACATCTGCCTCTTATCTGGTATATGAGTCATACCTAACAAATTTGTACTTTGGCGAATATCTAGCCTTTTAAGAGAAAGATACCTGAAAGTTTCTCAAATAACAAAGTGGGTTGGCCCACCATGCTTTTCTAGCAACTGTAAATATTCAACAAGTTCAAGCAATGCAAGAACTTGTTGATAGTAACTGGCTTGGTTAACATATCAGCTACATTCTTATTAGTATGAACCTTCTGTAACAGAATCTCACCAGAAACAATTAATTCTTTGATCTTGTGATATCTGACATCAATATGCTTAGTTCTCGCAATGTACACCTGGTTCTAAGCCAAATAAATAACACTTTGGCTATCACAATGCAATTGAACTCCACCTTGCTCAACACTCAGTTCCTTTACTAGCCCGGTAAGCCATAAGGCTTCTTTAGCAGCTTCAACTACAACCATGTACTCAGCTTCAGTTGTAGATAATGTCACAATAGATTAAACTGTTGATTTCCAACATATAGGCCCTCCACCAAGAGTAAACACAAACCCAGTTGTTGACCTTCTGTTATCTAAATCACCTACATAGTTTGAATCCACATACCCCACAACTGAAGGATCATTCTACTGACTGCCAAAAATAATTTCATGTCCTACAATACACTTCAAATACCTAAAATTTTACTTGACTACTTTGCAATGTCGCCTTCCAGGTTTAGACATGTATTTGCGGACTTTACTAACAACATGAGCCAAATCAGAGCGAGTATATACCATTGCATACATCAAGCAACCAACTGCACTGACATATGGAACATTTTCTATGTCTTCGATTTCCCTATCTATCTTCGGACACTGTTCTGAAGAAAGCTTAAAATGATTTTCCAATCGAGTGCTCACAAGCTTTGCTTTGCTCATCTCAAACCTATCTAGCACTTTCTCAACATAGCTTCATTGAGATAAACATAATCGTCTTAAGCCTCTATTGACCAAAGGAAAATATGTTGAGATTTTCATACCTATTTTACACTGATTTTGATGATATTGCACTTTAAGGAAAGGTATTTTTGATGTTTTGTTGCAGTTATGTTGAATTATGGTCATTGGAGAAAAAAGATGCATAAAGGAGCGAATTTGGAGCAAAAAGGACCAAAATATGGAGATTTGATCTTGGGCGCCGACGGCGAGTTTTTCCCGAGAGTCCAGAATTAAATATTCTAGAATGTTTATCTTTCTCTTGCAACAAATGTGCATCTTAAAAAGAATTTAACATTAAAAATATTATTTATTTATTTTTGTTATATTATTTGTACTCTCCTCCATGTTATCCTCTACTACTTGTTTGTAAATATAATTTTATAGTTAAAAAACTGTTATGGGGAAATTGATTTTCTTAAATTTGTTGCCGCTATTATATTTATATATATTTTTTTAAAGAGTAATTTTTTTTTATATAGCATTCATACTAAGAAACTTGGTTGCAAAATGTTTCTTCCTGTATTGTAATATTATAGACACTAGAAAGAAAACAGAAGCTCTAATCTGAATGATAGTTGCTTGAAAAACAAAGCAAAGAAAAAAAAAATGAAAAACAACATTTGCCTTTTAGGGTTGCCCAAAAAAATAAAAATAAATAAATAAATAATTGATGAGCTATATATAACTCAGCTTGATTAGAGCTTATTTATAATTATTTGACTAACCAATCAGATATGTTTAAAGACTTCAAAAATGAGCTCGAGCTCACCCAGGCCATAGCCTCCAGCTTAGCTCAGATCATTCATTTTCAACCCTAGTTATCAAATGACTTGTTGCGATCATTAGATGACTGACGACCCAGTTAAAACTAAACTCTTGGAACAAGTTAATGAGATGCAGTCAAGAGTCCTCCTCCAATTACGCCAAAGTTGTTTATTATTATTTTTTCGCTATTCTCTTGGCGGAGAAAGTTAATGGAAATTCTTCTTCTTGATCACGCACACTTCAAAGCTTCTCTTTATCACATGAAAATATAAGTGAGGACCGTACGATAAACGGCAAGCTCACTTCAACGATCATTGCTTCCATCCCGACCAAAAGAATATTAAGCCTCCCTGAATCCATTATCTCATAAAACTCAAAAAAGAAAAATAAAAAATAATAAAATTACATGCCGAATGATATGATGTTTGTCTTCGGTGTGTTGATGAAAGGATGCGAACGTTGGCGTCAGGGGGAGTCATAAATAGGCATGGATGTACATGCTATAATGTAAATCAATCTCCATTATTATCAAACCATGCCTCCAACCTCCTCTTTCTTCTCCCCCTTTTCCTTTTATTAACAACAGCAGAGTTTCTCCTACAGTCTTAATAATGAAGCTGAACCAAAAGAAACAA